GAAGAAGGCCAAGTACTTCATGGTGGGGGTGTTCTCCATTCCCGTCAGAAAGGTGGAGGGTGAAGTAGCTACAATCCCACTGGCTCTGGAGGAGATGAAGGCTGGCGTCAAGCCGGAAGAAGAAGTGGAGGAGAAAGAGCTGCAGCCGGCCATAGAGGAGGAAGAAGTGGTTCGGCAGGAAGGCGATCCGCGGCTCATAGAAGAATGGCAAAGGTTGGAGGTTGAGTCCCGGTGGAGATCCAAAACTACACCAAGGTGGAGACCCTGACCTCTCGACAAGGAGTTGAGGTGAAGATGTCTGGCAAGAATGGTAGCTCACTTGAAGTACCTCGGCTTGGAAGTCAGAAGGGTGCATAGTGACGCAGCGGGTGAGATGCGGGACACGAAGAAATGGTGTGCTGATCGTGGCATTTATCGCACCTTCACCTGTGGCAGCGATTGGAAGGCCAATGGTCGTGCAGAAGCCGAGATTGGGGTGGTGCGCAGGGCGGTCAACACGCTCATCAAGGCTTCTGGAGATGGTGAGGAGTACTGGCCGTTGATGGCCAAGCATGTGGGAGAAAGGAGAGGACGACAACAACTGGCTGTTCTGGGCTTGGTCACACCAAAGCTGCTGCCTTGGGGACAACGGGTCATGATCACGACCAAGGGCTGGGATGACTTTCAAGGTCACTGGAGGGCCAGAAAGAAGGCTGGAGTGGTTCGTGGTCCAGATCCCGACATGAGTTTGACCAGCGGAGGCCATTTGGTGGAGGTGGAAGACGGGAAGTTGATCCGCACTGATGACATGGTTGTTCCCGGTGACCCTCCAGCTCTAGCAGACGTGGTGGAGGTTGAAGCTCGTGATGAACCAGCCAGCATCTTGGACCGTGTGGTCAAACCGAGAAGAAGGTTGACGGAGAAGACTGCCTTGGCCAGTGTGAGCATTGAGGAGGTGCAGACCCGGTTGTGGAGAGGCCAGGTGTGGGCTAACCAAGAGTTCCAGCACTTGGAAACCAGTTCACAAAAGGAGGTCGAGATTGTCACGGTGAACGAGATGGACCTGGAGAATACCGCTCTTGAGAACATGGTTGAAAAGTCGGTGGTGGCTGTGAGAAGGATGGAAGCAGACGCTCTGGAGGCTGCCATGGAGGAGGGTGAATCATTTCTTCAAACCAGAACAACCAGCCTGAATGAGGTCAGAAAGAACCTTCCGTTATGGATCCCACCATTGAAGGATGAGATCAGTAACTTCGACTCCAACAAAGCCATCCAGCGTGTCACGGAGGAGGAGCGATGACCATGGTGCAGGAGGCAGAGGACCAGGGGAGACGGGCGGACATCATTCCTGGAATGGGGGTGTTTACCCGGAAAGCGGGTGACGGAAGGAGAAGAGCTCGAATAGTTTGCTGTGGAAACTATATGGAGACCAGGACCGGCGAGGAAGTCTACGCCTCTGGAGCTGATTCGACCCAGTTGAGAGCTACCCTTCGAGTGGCATCGCTGAACAACTGGCACTGCTTGTCCCTGGACGTCAAATCGGCTTTTCTGTTGGCTCCCAAGGCTCAAGGGTATTTGGTCATTGTGAAACCGCCCAAGGTGCTGGTCGATGCTTCGTTGGCAAACTTAGGGGAACATTGGGTGGTTACTTCAGCCATGTACGGCCTGGTCACATCGCCGAAAGACTGGAGTGTCTACAGGGATTCGGAACTGAGATCCTTGAAGGAGAAGGAGACGGGCATGAACACCAGGTGGTTTGGGTTTCGTCCCTTGGAGGATTCCAATTTGTGGGCCATTCAAGAGTGGAAAGATGGTTCCGAGAAAACGACCGGTGAATGGGGAGTGGTGTTGGGCTACATGATTGTGTATGTGGACGACATCCTCATGGTTGGCTCTCGACCAGTGACCGATGCGGCATCAGCCACAATCAAGAGGATATGGGCGACGTCGAACCCAGAATATGCCGAACCTGGTGGGGCACCTATGCGGTTTCTCGGCATTGAGATTCAGAGATTGGTGAATGGGGCGTACTACTTGCACCAGGGCTGCTATGTCGTGCGGGAGGTTCTGGACAGGCATGTGGGTGGAGGTAGCTCGTCGTTCATCAAGGTTCCAGAGGAGAAGGAAGAAAATGCTCCGTCGCTGCGTGAGGTGAGGGAGGCTCAGAAGATCACCGGGGAGCTCCTATGGCTGTCAGGCAAAACCAGGCCAGACATTGCCTGGGCGGTGATGAAGATGTCACAGTGGGCAGTGAAACGACCAAGGTGGACCGTTGAACTGGGGGAGGCGATTCTTGCCTATGTGCGGTCTTCGGTGGATTTTGGCCTGGTCTACCCAGTTGACGTGCCGGTAGATGACGATCCGGATTTGGCCAGAAAGCTTCCTAGGAAGAGGGGCACCATTGAGGTCCTTGTGGATGCTTCTTACAGTCCGGGAGAGGCTCACAGTGTGTCAGGAACTGTAGTTCTTCTGGCAGGATGTCCGGTGCAGTGGGAAAGCCGCAAACAAAGTCTCATGTCATTGTCCACTGCGGAGTCGCAACTAACTGCATTGGTTGAAGGGCTGCAGACCGGGAGATCCGTTCGAGCACTGGTGGAACTCCTGATTGAAGATGTCACCCTCGAGCTCTACAACGACAACAGAGCGGCAGTGGTTATGGCATCAGGGTCCGGAGGAGGATGGAGAACTCGTCACCTGCGCATTAGGGCGAGATGCCTTGCGGAAGCCTTGAAGTTGGGCGAGGTGACCCTAAGTCATCGAATGGGAACCTCATTGTGGGCCGATGCTCTCACGAAAGCACTACCAGCCCAATCTTTGGATCGCTTCTGCAGAGGAGTGCTCCTTCGTCCAGGCCAAGAAAACAAGATGGCTAAGACACAGAATATGCAGGTGGAGGAGAGTGTGAAGGTTTCCAAATGTGTGGCCATGATGCTGACAGGCATTTCTATGATCCCACAGGCAGCGGGCAGTGAGGTGTGCGAGAAGGGTGAGGCTCCGGTTCAATCTACGACCTCGATGATGGGAGATTTGGGGTGGTTGGTGATGCTGGCAGGGCTTGTTTGCTTCTTGCACCTTGTGAAGGACCTTGGTCTGGGGTGGTTGAGGCGTTTGGTGGCTGGGAAGGAATGCGTTAAGGTGAAGCTTCTTCATGAGGAGGCCACTACACCACAGAGAGGGTCTCCTGGTGCAGCGGGCTGGGACTTGTCCACGTGCATGAGTGTTCAGATTGGTCCAGGAGAGCGGAAGTTGGTTTCAACTGGAGTCGCCATGGAGATTCCCAAGGGATTTTATGGAAGAGTGGCATCTCACAGTTCGGCTTCAAGAGGTCTGGAAGTGGCAGGTGTCATCGACTCAGACTATCGCGGGGAGGTGAAGGTCATTCTTGTGAACCACGGGAACCAGGAGGCTTCTTTCGAGGTGGGTGACCGGATTGCGCAGATCGTCATTGAGAAGATCTCTGAGGCCCCGATGATGGAGGTGAGTGATCTGTCCAGCTCGGCGAGAGGTGGTGGAGGGTTTGGAAGTTCAGGCTTGGCAGTCAGGAGTGTTCGGGCAACCACGAGCACTTCAGGAGAGGAATCACTACATCATGAGCGACCTCGAGTACAAGAAGGGGTACCACGTGATGAAGGAGCTCTACGAGAGAGTGAGAAAGGAGTAGAAATGATGAATATGCCGATCCCAAGGAGCCTGGACTTCGAGACATACACGTCACGGGCTGGGGAAGACATGACCCCTTTCCTGGGAAAGTTGAGAGATGAGGAGCTACCTGATGTGGCCTGGCTTTTCAATCCCAGCGTGATGAACATCCTCGTGGTCAAACCGTCGAATGGAATGAACCATGAGTGTGTGCTTCGCTTTCAGGAGGGGGTTGTGACCGTGAAGATTTTTCGACATGGCGGATGGCGAAAGAAGATCTTTGACAGCGATCTGGCTTTGCCCGTTACGGCGACCGGCTTATCCTCAAAGGTTGTCACAGTGGCCTGGCTGGATGATGGACGTTTATTGCTGCGTTCAGACTGTCGAAAAGGAAGCCATCAAATGCACTATTTACGCCAACGATGGTTCGGCTACAGCATCCTGTTGCGCTCTGGTGAGCCATTGTCGAGTGCTTCGGGAAGTGCTGGATGGTGCTAGTTGTTGGCACAAGAAGAGAGAAAAGAGGGGTTCTGAGCTTGAAGGATTTTTGAAGACATGGCGTCAGTGCATGTGTGCTTTTTGCTGCGGGAGCATGGAAGTGTTTTTCCTTTGTGTGTGAAGCTGGATTCAAATGGGTGAATGTGGCTGGCGTCGTTTGGGATGCACTGCCTTAGAACCTGCTGCTTAGAAAGGCACCAAAACACTGAGAATGGAAGGGGCTTGAGCTGGGAACGTACCTTGATGAGGTTCTTTGAATTTTCATGTGAACGTGCGAATAGGGCACACTTTACCTTTAGTTGGGGTTTCCATGATCCCAGCTTCGCAAGGGAGGGGAGAGCAGAAACCCCACTCCTTTGCTTGACGTTTGAGTTTGTCTTGCAGTTGAGGGCATGTGAACCGACCGGAAGCCCTTTCTTGTCAAAGGAAAAAGGAACTCGGCTTTTGTGAGTTTGGTGGTTACTACTAGTAAGGCACTTGTTCCTAGTAGCGATGCACCTGTTACTAGTAGCGAAACATTGTTACTACTAGTAAGGCAATTGTTCCTAGTAGCGATGCACCTGTTACTAGTAGCGAACATTGTTACTACTAGTAAGGCACGTGTTCCTAGTAGCGATGCACCTGTTACTAGTAGCGAACATTGTTACT